GTACAGGTGAGAGCAATAAATGACATTTCCTACCTTGCACAGCTCACAGAGAGCCTGCTTTGGGGAGAGCACTGAGAGTTAGGGGAGAGGTGGGATTTCACAGTAGGAGTCCCAGTCTGGTCTTCTCAGCAGCTTCAGGTGTGGACTTGCCATTTGACTCCTGACACCTTCAGCAGCAAGCTGGCTGTGCAGGAGCACTTGTCAGCCCAGCAGCTGCATGCAAGGCTACTGAATCAATGCAGCTAAACCCTGTGATTCCCTAAGTCAGGTTGCTAAGGTTGTTTTATTACCCTGCTGGCAAACAGACTCAATATCCAGCAGGTAAAATTGGTTCTCTCTGAGAAGTTCCCTCCCAGCTCCCACCCGATAGCACCTCTGTAAATGTTATCTAGGAGCAAGATGTTAAACAAATTATTTTGGTTTGGTTAATTGCCATCTGGCTGTTACTTAATTCAGCTCACTAAAGGAAAAGATTTATTTGATTGATTTGCATTCCTTTTTACATGTTGGGTTTAAACCTGTGGCTGTTGAAGCGACATTATTCTACCGCAAAGTAAATCAACTGAAAACACCAAACAGTTAAATGGGTCACCTGGAGGATGCAGGGAAGAAAATCCTGGATGTCCTCAGCACTGGGAAGCACAGGTGTGGGTTTGGCTCCCTGGGGAATGGGGTTGGGTGCAGGAAAGCTGGGAGCAGCCCCTGTCCCTTGGCTCAGGGTGTGCTTTGCATTGGAGGGAACCAGTTTCTGTCCCTACATCTGGGGTGGTGTGGCAGAGTCTACCCTGCATAGAGTCATAGAATCATTAAGGTTGGGAGGGACCTTAAAGATCATCAAGTTCCAACCCCCCTGCCATGAGCAGGGAACCACTAGACCAGGTTGCACAAAACCTCATCCAACCTGGCCTTAAAAACCTCCAGGGATGGAGGTTTGCACAAATCCAGGTAGGTGACATCAGTTGCTCTGCCACCATCTCTGTAGCCTTGGTGTAGAAGGCCAGCAGGTTGGTCAGGCATGACTTGCCCTTCGTGCAGCCGTGTTGGCTGTCACCAATCACCTCTTTATTTTCCATGTGCCTTAGCAGACTTCCCAGGGGGATCTGCTCCATGACCTTGCCAGGCAGAGAAGGCTCATCACACACAGAAGGGATTTTCACAGTAGAAGTTCAATAAACATAAGTAAACAAAGCCCAAAACAGGAATGGTATTTGAGTCGATAAAATTAATTTGCTGCTTCAATTAACCAAGTAAATTTCCTTCACTGTCTCAGGGCCTGGGATGCTGGGGACCCTGTGCCAGCACCAGTGAGCCTTCCCATCAGGCAGGGCCACAGGGCAGGAGTTTGTCATGTATCTTAGAAGAAATGACCAATCCCTCCCCCTTGGTTTGATCATCTTGGAAAATCCCCCGAACCATTTGGTAAATACTTCACAAAACAAAAATGTGAGAGGTTAGACCTATTTCTTCTGACATTATAACTAAAGATTAATCTTTATGCTTATTTAATGAGTGATAAAATCATAATATTGAAATATATTCATTAATTATTGAAGTAAATTACTACTTCCCTCTTTTAGTGGTGGGTCATTAAAGATAAATTTGTCTAAAGAGAATCTTTACTTTCCATAATTTATCTGCCCTCATGTAGCCACATGTAATTTTCTGTTTGTGAGAGTTTAATATTTTTATAATGACAGAAGTGTCACATGGCTGCTATGTGAGCATAACTGCAATTAAGGTTGGAAATCCTAGATCCCTGATAAAGCCCAACAGTGGAGGCTGCAGCTCAGATGACTGTGTAGGGGTGTACTGAACATATTTAATTTGCTATGAGTCCTGACAATTGGCACTTGAGGACTTCTCTTGGCTCTTTTGCAGAAGGATTTGTGTGATTAATGAGTCCCAGAGTGGGGGATCTTTGTTTCCTACAGATGCTTCCAAGCTTTTCTAGTTACAAGCCCTCATGCAGACGAGACAAGGGTTTCGTCCTTGTGCTCATCAGGGCCTTGGATGTTTGTACCTTCCTGATGTCTCTGCTGGTCACATCCCTGTCCTGAGATGTCACAGCCTTCTCCTTCCCTTCTGCCAGCCCCTGGAGCTGGAAGGAACAGAAGTTATAATTTATTGTCATCATTATTCTGTATTCTCTGGAAAAGAGCCATTTTAGCCTCTAAAATCTGCTTTTAAAGCAAGAAAGGAGTATCATGTTCTGGAAAACAGAAATAAAATGAAAAGGCAATGCAGCTGTGGCCCAGGTAGGGGAACAAGAACAACTTCATTAACTGCAATGAGAAGTGGACATTCAAAATCCCAGTGATTTAGGGATGTCATTTCCCATTGTAACCTGATGTGAGGGAGGTTGGGGCTCAAGGAACAAATCAAGTCAGATTAAATTACTGGTTCAGACTTTTAAGTAGAGCACAAAATGTCCAAGAAAAGGAAAAATATCATCCTACAGTGTGTCTGCATGTCCAAACACAGAAGGTCCTGAGTGCCACCTCCACCCCGGCTGCACCTGGTTGATGTGTCAGTCGTGGTCCAGGAGCAGGTGACTGTGACCCCAAAGCTGGGACAGGGGCTGGTGGCTGAGGTTCCATCTGGTTTTTTCATACCCATTGCTTTCCAGGGTATGGCCCAGCTGCCTGGGTGCCCTGGGCAGCAGCAAAGGGCACAGACCTGCCCTACGTCCTCCCTGTGGTGCCATCTACATCCCTGTGGACACTGGGAAGCCTGTGTCAGCTGCAGTCACTTATAGGCCCAAACAGATGTTAGACCTCAGTCATCACTAGAAACCAAGAGAACTGGTTCTCCTGCTCTCCTGTCTGGTCTTAGAAAACCTCTGCCAAAGTCAGCCCCTCCAGCAGGGTCCTTGGTCTTGGGAAACTGCTCTTCTAGAGCCACACACATGGAAGCAGCGTTTGCAACTGAGAACCCAGGAGGGTAAAATGATGACCTGGAAATTTGCTCAAGTCTACAGCATTTCATTGATGGCACTTTTAGGCTTCAGGGCATCATCTGTGGTTGCTTTTTCCAGTCTGAGAGTTTCTTTCTTTCTCTTTGGGATTTGTGGAGGTTGTTATTGCTCTGAGGCTCACAGGGCTCATTGCCAGCACACCCTCATACACTTCCCAGTGTCTTCTTTGTAACAGCAGGTCAGCTGGTGAGTTTAATTTGCACTGACTCTGACACAGTGACCCCAGGGATGGATCAGAAGCACGTTTGTGGCCAGGGAGAAGCAGAGTGTTTCTGTGCAGCCCCAAGGTGCTGGCAGAGCAGGTCCCTGCAGCAGCTTTGCCACAAATACTGCCAATAACATCAGTTACCTGATTAGTTTTCCACCACCTGAGGACCTTCCCTGGCCCAGTTCCCCACGTGCACATCCATGTCTGGCTGGGAAGGTGGCACAGCAGAGGGGGAAGGAGAAGTGGGACTGTCCCCTTGGGCTGCACTCTGCTTTTAAGCAGGTGTAAATGGGGTCAAACTGCAGCCTGAGATGTTCCCCTCTGCCCTTGACATGTGGGCTGCAATTGTACCTCTCTGAAATAAGCTTGTTCCCTCTGCAGAACTCTAGACCTGAAGCTGTTCTTTCAGTAAAATAATTTGCACCCAGAAAAAAAAGAGCAATGACCTTCAGACATTTTTCTCCACCTGAGATTATCCTATCAGGCTAAAGTGCCTTTATTGAGAATATGAAGTTATTAGCTAGCCCAGTTTTCCAGTGTTTTGACAGTGTTGTTACAACTGTAGTTTCGTGCAGGAGAGTGAAATAATTGGCATCCAGCATAATTTCCATAGAAATGCCAACGTCTGTGCAGTTTCCATTTACCTTCTCATCCTCAAGAAAAAAAAACCCAACCAAAACAAACCAAACAAGTTGTTTTTTAATGGCAATTTGTGAGCGGGATTTTCCCAAGTGCCGAAAGTAATCTTGGGGAAATGGAAACGTTTATCCAGCAGCAGATCTGATTGTCAGAAGAGCACTTTGAAGGCAGAGAACCTGCACCTCTCAGGCCAGCCTTTGTGCCAGGTATTGTGTGCTGCTGGGTTTGGGGAGTGCTAATGAGTCCAAGATAGACTGCTCTGCTGTTGACTATGTCAAGCAAATTAGAGATCCCACTGTGACAAACTGAATAGAAACAATGTTCAAATAACCAGATTTAAATCTCGAAAACCATAATGTAATTACTTCAGTGACGGGACTACCAGCTGTTTATAGGATTTTAAATCTGCATAATGAACAGCCTTGTGATCTTCATATACACAAGCACTTTCAGGGGTTTAAAAAAATTTTGCAGGCACATATGGTTTTTCATACCTTCTCTTTTCCTCTCCTTTGAGAGGACAGTGGTTCATTGGAAATGGCAATAGAAGTTGAGTGTTTCCATTCCACCCCTACTGTGGTGCCTGCTGGGTTTCTCTGGATTTGTATCCAAATCCTGTATCTTTAGTAATACTTTGGAAACGAGCTTATACCTCCTCAGTTCCTGTTTCTAAACCTTTCCAAGAAAGCTTTATTGTAACTGCAGAAGCCTGGAGGGTGAGGATTGCTCTTTGTTTGTGTTTTCAAGGGGTTGACTTCTTGAGAAACTGTGCCAGGGAGGTTTTTATTTGGCCTGTAGACAGAGGAGAAGATGGGCATCAGAATTTATAATGACAATGTGACAGTGCAGCCAACAAATCCTGCAGCTGTTAATGTGCATCCTCATGGTCTTCAGATGCCATTGGTTGTTGATGAGATGTTTGCAGCTACCAGCCCATCTCTGTTCATGTGTGACATCAGTTGTGCTGTTTCCCAGGCACACAAAGATACAACTGCAGCCAGGTAATTGAAACAGGGAGAGGCATGACCTGGTTTTATGATATTCTTATTAATCACATTAATTAGAGCAGTGCCTACTTGGCCAAGGTCATTGCAGGTGCTTGTCAGTGGGTCACATCATCCCTCCAAGCCTGGTGCTCAGACTCACTGTGATGGCAAAGAAGGAGGTGATGTGGTGAATGGGGTGATCAACATTTCTCCTCTGTGCCTTTGTGAAGGGGAGAGAGAGCCCTTCTCTGTGCAAGGCAGGTGGCAACATACTGGAAAAGCTTAAACTAAGAAGAGTTTGCTGGGTGGGCGATGACAGCGTTGGAACAACGTGCCCTGTAGTGGGTGACTCAGGAAGTTCAGTCAGTTTGCTGGGGGATAGTTCCATGGGAATCTTGAAGCAGCCAAATAGAAGGCTGGATTTTTCATCATGGATTTTTTCATCCAGGAGTAACAAGTCTGATTTCACCCATGGTTAGAAATTGAAGCTAAAGAAGTTGGGATTAAGAAGCTGGTGCAAATTTCACTGAAGTTTAAATGAACCGTTTTGTGAATTTTCCAAGATCTGTCATACTTTCCTCATTAATTGGTATTTTTTGAAAGAAACATTATGCTTTTCATCACTACATGCTCTAATCAAACCAGAATGATTTAGGAAAGCCCAGTGAGCTAATTAAAGGTTTTTTTTCTGGATTAAAACCATGAATGTTCAAATACCTGACTGAAATTTCCTGCATCATGCCCCAAATCACTTTAATATAAAAATGTTTCCATAAACCTGTAAACTTCAAAGCTTTTTTTAGAGATCCTAGTGATATTTTCAGTTGTTAAGACTGAAATATTAAAGAGGATCAGAAATGTCTCTGTAGGACAGGCTTGAACAGCTGGGAAGCCCATGAAGCACCTTCCTGTGGGTCCTCTTGGGTGAAGGATCACTTGAGCTTCAACTTTTGAGATGAGCAGAAAGCCCAAGTAGCTGTTCCAACAAACCTTTAATTAAATGGTCATTGATTACACATTTATAAATAATGCCCAAACCTCATCTGTTGACTGCAGCTGAAGTAATTAATTGCATTCATTCATTGACATACAATGTGCAAAAGTTTGGGCAGAATCCCTGGGTCTAGGCACTAGTTTCTATTCTCTGAACAAACTCCCAGTAAAGTGCTATGGGTATGCTAAGCTGGATGCTACCTTGCCCTTTATCTTAGATTCAAGGCTAATTTCTTTTTTAGGGGACTGTTGATTTAAAAAAGCAGGGTTTAAAAAAATCTTTTGTACCTTAGGATTTCCCTGGGCCAGTGGCTTTCTAATGAATTATGTTTTCAGTTCAGTAAAAAAAGCAGTTTTAAATGGAGAACCACCCCTGTTTCTGCCTTGCTTTTCAGGGACTGGCAACACACCCTTAAAGGCACATTTTAATTCCTAAAGGCACATTTTAATTCCTAAGAAGTTGATGTTAGGAGAAAATGCATGTATATCCTGATGGACAAAGTTTAGCCTTTGATAGATTTTGCCTCTCTTTTTAAGTGTTTTGGTGATTTACTGGTACATAGGAAGTCAGGGGATGGTTCCAAGACAATAATTTTCTCTCTTCTCTGTCTAAACATTTACTAACTTGCCCAGCAGGAAAGTTACTCATCCTGTCTGAGGTGCAGTTTAGCATTAGTTAAAATATATTGCCTTGATGACCCCTTTACCTTCAACTGAAGTGGCTTTGGCTTTGTGCTCCCCCTCTGAAGATGCCAAACCACTGTCACACACAGTATTGTTGTAAATGCCAGAAGCTCAGGAGTTTCACAAGGTTTGAATAAAACCCCAGTGAAGTATTTCATGCCTTTCTGTCTGTACTGGTTTTTTACCTGTGGCTGCACCACAGGAAATGCTGAGTGTCTTCTTTGAGAGCCCTTCTTTTCCAGCCTTCAGAGTAGTTTTCCCCAAAAGTAACACCAGGCTATGAAGTTTTCTAAGGAACTTGGATAAAGTGCCATGTGGAAGACTATCAGCCTGGGGTAGTATCCACCTTATGTCCCACTTTGATCTTCATTTGGTGGCAAAAAATGTGAATTCAGGTCTTCATAACATGTTTGGCAGGTTATTACAGCTCTGACTGTGCTGCTCTTCCCCTTTGAGATAAGGTTTCTCCTTGGTATTGGATATTCACAACTATTCAAATGCACATATGATTTTTATTTTCTCATTTATACCAATTTTTATTTATTTTTTGTCAGTGAATTTTTAAATTCTAGTCCTAATATCTGTCAAGGGTTAGCTTTATTTCTGCTTGATGTTTGCATGTGGGTTTTTTAATCCTACATGGCAACCTGAGAGTGAGCTGAGAGCTACAGTAGGAAAATTAAGCCACAAGTGTTAACCTTCTGATGCTAGACTCCTTCACAAAGGGTGATTTTACAACCAAGGTAGATTTATTTTTTCCTTGGAAGACTTTCCCCCAAGTCTCTTTTTAATCCTTCCCTTCAAAGCCACCAGCACAGTCACATCCCCAGCTCTAGGCAGAATTGCAGGCAGTGATGGGTCTGATGTCCTTCAAGACCATTTCTGTGCCATCAGGAGTATTGTGGAGGAATGGTTGTAAGGCCCAGCACCCACACAGCTCTGGGCCTCAAACACAGGGACCAGCATATCTTAGTGTCTCTTATGAAAAATACAGATTAGCTTGTCAGGCTGTTTACAAGACAGGTCACAGGCCTGCAGATCCCTGGCTGGGTTTTTTATCCCTGGCATGTTCTGGTGGCTGCAGAGGTCTGGAAATGTTGATATGTCATTAACAGTTTTTCTTCAGGAGAAAAAGGGAGGATCCATAAAACAAGGAGTGTTGTTTCAGAAATCCCACATCTGAGGGTTCCTGAAAGACATGTTCATAAATCTGAGTGGATGTTACAGTGCATGGGAAATTGTGCCCAAGTGAATAGTGGAGTCACCATCCCTGAAGATGTTGGAAAAACATATAGACCTGGTACTTCAGGACACGGTTTAGCTGGCACAGTGTTGAATTGATCATCTGGGAGATCTTTTCCAACCTTAATTATTGTATGACTCTATGGAAAACTTAGGCTTACCATCCCTGCTGTCAGATCATTTCACACCTTGTGGGAGGTTCACCTTAGCTCACTGTGTGAGCTCAGTGCAATTGTCTGCTGGGGTGTTATTTCCAGTGCCCTCATGTGCTTCTCTGTCCAAGGACAGGGGAACATGGGAGGAACTGGCTGTGACATCAGGGATCTCTTACTGAGGGCCATATCACCACACAGAAAGAAAAGCTGACTGAGTTTGCTGTGCACCATGAAGTGCTGGAGATGGTGATGGCTTTATACAATTCCAGACTGGTCCTGTGCCATTCTCCAGGTTAGAGGACATTCTTTGCAATCTTGAACAGCCAGAATGAGGTATGGCACCTTGGGCAGCAAGGGGCTATGTTGACACTGCTCTGGAGTGTGCTGGATCCCAGAAAATCAATGACCCTGGACCCTAAACCTTGGCCAGAACCATGTGAGTCATGAGCAATCTGCTCCCTTATGGGAGAAGGGCTGTAACACTTTAAGGTCCCTTCCAACCCAGATTGTTCTGTGATTCTTTTATATACCTGAGCTGAGAAGCTCAGGTTACAAGTATCCACGTCACCTGTGAGCATCAGGGTGGCAGCTCATGCACTGCAGGGCTGTTCCTCCCCCTCATCTGGATGGGTCCTGCATTATCTCCTCACTTCTGCCTTCATTCTCCTGGTGTAAATCTAAATAACATAGCTGTGCAGCAGCAGCCCTCTCCTCTGCCTGAGGCACGTGGTTAGACACAGTCTCCTTCCTCACCAATCAGTTCTGGTCACATATTTACTGACTTCCCACCTTGCACAAGCACCACCTTTCAGAAACCATCTTTGCAAGGAAGGGGTTAAAATTACCCGTTCCTGAGACTTACTGCCTGCTAAGATTGGCAATTATTTTCCTGTATCCAGGGAAATGCTGTTTGGAATTACTGCAGGTATCTTCATATTTGATCAGAAAAGAGTAATACAATTTCCCTCCTCCTTATGCTCAGCATAATTATTTGCAGCCCTGCAAAACAGGTGTAAATGGAATCAGATATGATTGTACCAGGTTCCCAGCACACCTCAGCTGAGGGTGCAGCCAGTCGTGTTGGTGCAGTTGCCTGCACATGGAGAAAAACAGAATCAGAGAATGGTGTGAGTTGGAAGGGACCTCTGAAGGTCACCTAGTCCAACAAACGTGTTGCTTGGTACAGCAGAAATCTTTGTTGGTTCTGGATCTGAGTAAAGGGTGTTCACAGCTGCATCCAATAGTGACAAAAGTTATATGTGCTTAAAATAAATACATTCTGCCATGAAACTGAGTCTTATCCATCCTTTCCTTTCTATAGGGTGGCTTCAGGAACTCATTCAGCTCCAGAAGTTGTTAAATAATATTTCCAATGACCTATGGAGGTCTGAAGCTTGGAGATCTTTGATTTTGCCATCAGAAATTTTATCAGAAAAACCATATCATGACTACATGGAACATGACTTTGACCATTTCAGTAGACACAGATTCCTCCAATATTAACTTTATTTTCCCTCCACTAGATAACCTCTTCAAACCAAAGGAAAGGTTCATTCCAGAGAAGGAGATGCATATGAGATCAAAAAGGTACAAATTGCTGTGGTTTAGAGCTTGGTGCCTCTCGTTGCCATCTCATGCCTGGAGCAGTGTGTTTCCATGTTGTCCTCATGGTTGGTCTCTCATGCAGCTCTCCACACTTTTGTGCAGTGCTCCATTTTTTCCTGCCCAGTAGCAATTTGATGCATTTGGGCCACCCCTGCCCTTGCAGCATCCTTTTTCTAGCAGTTGCAGATGGCTTGAGGGTACCCATGGTGGGAAAACTGAGTCCCTGAGAGGTACCTCATGCTGGACCTTCAAAAATGTAAGTAGTACAGTGATTTTGAGCATTGTTTTGTTGGGTTTTTTTCCATCCTGATTATGGCACGTAGAGTGGAAATGGCAGCAAACTGTTAGACATGTGGTGTGTGACATTTATCTGCACTGCACTTCACACCATCCTTTGCTGCACGTGGCTCCCTGCAGAATTCACCTCGTTTTTAAGAGTGCTCAAGATTTGCCCCATTTCTCTTCTCCAAAAGGCAACCTCTAGCCAAACCAACACCCCAGTGCTTCAGGACCTCAATATTGCAAAATATTATGGGGAAAAATGAGAAGAAATGGGTGTTGTATGCATGCAAAGCACAGGAGTGCTGCAAAGGGAAGTCTGACTTTCTTTTCAAATCTGGGGGAATTTGCTGATGTATTTCAATAGAAAAACACCAGACCAGAAATCACCTTCTTGGAAGGCAATTTGTATTATTTTTAAAATGGACAGATTAAATTCTCCTTGGAAAAAAGAGTTTGTAATTACAGTGAAAAAATGTTAATAGGCTACAGTCTTTAATGATGGTTTTCTTATATTTTAGAAGAATATTTGAAAATAATTGCTTGGTATTAATTTTGTGACATAAATATAAAACCAAAACAAAAGTCTACAGGCCAGATTCTGGTTTGAATTATGTTGCTATAAATTGAAACCAACTCCACTGAGCTCATTAGAAGCTACTCCAGAATTACCCTGCTGCATTTGAGATAACCTGATCCCATCCCTTTCTTTCTCTCTTAGTCCAAAATTAAGTCTTTTTCAACAAGTCAGATGTTATATAAAACATTATTCTTAATAAGAGATAATTCCTGTGCTATAAATCTCATTCAAGTACTTGGAGATGCCCATTAATGACAAGTATGACATTGAAGCAGACATTTCCTGTAGGAAAACCAAATTATTTGGGAGTCCCAGGGATGATGTGTGAAGTTAACTTCCTAAACTCATTCCAGGATTTATGACAATTTACCTGAAGTGAAAAAGAAACAGGCAGAGAAACAGAAGCGGATCATCATCCAGAGCAACCGGCTGCGTGTGGAGATGTTTAAAAAGGTAAGGATGGGCAGTGGGTGCCAAGGGGTTTTGTGACCCTTGGATTGGGTCATAGAATCACAGACTGGTTTGGGTTGGAAGGGACCTTAAAGACCATCCAGTTCCAACCCCCTGCATGGGCAGGGACACCTCCCACCAGCCCAGGTTGCTCAGAGCCCCATCCAACCTGCCCTTCAACACTGCCAGGGATGGGGCAGCCACAGCTTCTCTGGGCAGCCTGTTCCATCATCTCACCACCTGAATGTCCAACCTGAATGTCTCCTCTTTAAGCTTTAAACCATTGCCCCTTGTCCTCTCACTATTCTCCTATGTAAAAAGCCCTACCCCAGTTTTCTTGTAGAGGCAGCACTGCCATGGGCAGCCTGTGCAGGTCCTGAGAGCAAAGGATGGTTCTTAAGGCTTGTTCTTGAGCTTAGACACTTCTAGACTTCTTACATTTGAGGTCTAAGAATGCTCATGCCCCCTCACCTATAGTATCACTGCAGATTCCTACAGTTATATCCACCTCCTGCATTTTAATGGTATATTAAAGGCTCTTTTGCACTGTTTTTTTTCCTAGCAATTACTGGACCAGCTCCTTCAAAGAAACACAGAGTGACAAAGGATCTCTTGTCCATCATCTTCACTGAATCTTGAATGCCTTTGACTGCTAGATAAGCCATAAAATGTCCTTTTCTCTGAATTACCTGGAGGTGTTTTTCTTATCTGTGGCTCTTTTTATAGAAAGATAGATCATTTTTATTTCAATTGAAATTTTAAGGCAACTTTCAAGTAATCAAAACCAATCTAAAAGGGAACACAGCTGGTTCAGGGCATCACCTTTTTGTCAGTTTACCCAGAGGAAATACTTTTAAGAATTTTTAATACAAATACTGAATCACAGTGATATTTTTTATCTTAGTCTTTTAAAAAGTATACGTCTCTGTAGCAATAGAACTGGTTTTATAGGATCTGGAAAACTTATTTCTCTGCAGTATTCTATTAACTGATTTCCTGTGAGTTAAATCCTTGAAGTAAAGAAAAATGAATATTGTTATTTGTTATGTTTAGAAACTAGCTGAAATAGCATTACCACATAATCATAGCAGCAGCAGTTTCACATTAATACTTAACATACCAAAAGGGACCAATATTTAACTCTCTGAAGAACTCTATTCCTGTTTATATAGTGAATCTACATAGCAAACTTACCTGTTAAAGAGCAACATTTAAAAATTGGATTATAACAATTGCTTGTCATGTTTTTCATTGCAATGTCTATTTACTCTGCTTCTATGAGCATTAAGTATTTATAGAAATGGCATATTAAGAAGTGGTGCCAAGAAGTATGTTTGCATCAAAACTGCAGAACTAAAACCATCTGTAGTGTTTCCTGCAAAAATATTTAAATCTTTATTTGTACATTTTGGAAGTAAAAAAAAAACCAACACAACCCACACAGCTACAGCTTACAAACCAATGGAGTTTATTTATGGAATAAAATATGAATATCATATTGATCCAACTGCTATGTTTTTATTTGGTACTGTTAACTACACCACAATTCTTGAAAGTGCTTGAGAAGTCATGCCTTTTGTGTGCCACAAATCCTCTGGTTAAAAATATTGCCCATAAAAATCATTGCAAGTGTGAACCTCTGCTGCACAAACACTCAGCTGAGTGGCTTTGAATGAAGCTGGAATTTGGCCTTTCGTATCAATGCTTTATTTATCTAATCTAGCCTGAGATGTAAGGTCAGGTTTTTTTGGAAGAGAGCTGTCTGGGAGCTGGGCTTTGGCCACTGGGATAGCCTCCAGCTGTGGAGCCAGGGCTGGACACAAGGAACTTCGTTATACTTTATGCTCTGACAAGCTCTGTTAGGTTACTTGGCCTCTTTGTGTCTCAACTTCCTGATTTGTAGAGCAGGGTGAGCAATTAATTTTTGCTGGTAGAGAAGACAGAGGTTTCTTGAACAACTAGCTTGCATTCCAGATAGAAATCTTTCAAAACTTGTCCATTAATTCAATACATTCTGAGGAGACATGTCAGGTAGTGCTGATTTTGAGGAAGAAACTGCCAAGGTTCTTCTCCACAAAAACCAACTTTGGAACCAAGCAAGTAGTGCTGTTCCTGGAACCAAAGACAGGGCTGCACCAAAACAGCTCCAAGCAGAACTTGTAAAAGGGACAGCAAGAAGGAGCATCCTCCAGGCTTCTCAGCTCAGCTGTGTGTTTGCTCTGCTCTCCTGTGGGTTCCCTGATCCTTCTTGCTGCTCTTCAGGAAAAACGTGGCCTCTCTCTAGCAGGAGGGCCTTTCTCTCTCTGGTGGACTTCAGGGTCTTCACCACAGAGCGACAAATTACAGCCATAAACACCCCCCCCCCACACACACATGGTCTCCTGGACTGGATCTGAGGGTTATCTTTCAAGCTTTTATCTAGCTACAACTTGCTACAACACCTGGAGACATTTTCCATAGAAGTCTATGGTGCCCAAATGCCCTTTTATTTCAGGAGCATTTCCCTCAGGGGTTCCTCAGTCCCTAGTTTCTTGACTTCAGAGAAATGCAGCTTTGGTTCACCAAGTTTGTACCCCTCAGGAGCATGATTTCCTGCACACATCCCCAGAGCAACACTAAGTGTTTAAGCCTGCTTTACTGTGTACATTTAACCCTGCCTGTAGTCTCACCCTAGAACCACAGCAAGACATTTTGGCACGGAGACACGTGGTGTCCTATAACCATGGAGCACACAGCAAGGTGATCACAGCCTGGGGTCAGGAGTGTCCCCTGCTGTGGGACTGGCACCCAGAGCCACCAGGAGAAGAGAAGCCCAACACTTTTCCTACTTCTCTGGCAGAGTGGAAGAGCCAGAGTCTCCCTCATTGGGAGTGAAAGAGTCTTTTATGTGGAAATCAGACATTTGTCCTGCTGGATGCCCAGGAACCACAAGGAGATGGCTTTATCTCACTGCCATAATACATCCCTCCTCCACACCCATGCAATTTTATGTAAATGCCTGTAGGTACATATGCATTTTTTACATGCTTCTCACTGGCTGGCTGGGAATATCAAACCAGAAGGAGCTGATCCTCCTTAGAAACCACAACACCCGGGTCCTTGTGAGGAAATGAACCACAAGAGCAAATGGGATGAATGGCACAGGTTTGATGTGACATGCTTCTGTTGGTTTCTGCCCCCATCAACGTTCTGGCCAAGGCAGGACTCTTCTCAGCTGACCTGCTTCCCTCTCATTTCTGCTGATGATCCTTGGAGATGGGGTACAACACCAGCCTGCTGCATGCCCACCTCCCCTGCCTCATGGGGAACTCCACCTTCTCACCAACTTGAAGCACTACTCACAGATTCTTTGGGGTTTGTAGAAGAGTTATTTCCAAATTGTTTTATTTCCTCTAAATGTAATTTTCAAAATCTGCAGGGTGAATATGTGGCAATTTGAGGTGGAAACTCTCTTGTGTAAATACGTTTGGGACTGTATCTAGTGAGCAAACTGTATAATGCAAAGCACTGTCTGGGAATGTTTTGTGTGAGGTGAAGCCTTTGCTCCAGAATACCAAAAATTATCTCTGTTGCAAACCTAATTTAGTTTCTGGGCCTCAGAAAAGAAGGTAACTGGTAAAGTATCCAGCAAACAATTCTGAGATTCATTTCAGCTCTACAATCCAGTCATTGTCATAGAAAATAGACCAGACAGGAAAATGTTCTTCAGGAAAAAAAAAAAAAAAAAAAAGAGCCTCAGAGGCTTAGCCCTATAGAAGGAGGCATCAACTTAATGAAGTTTAGAGTTAGGAAAAAAATTGGCATCATTTCACTTTGGATTTGCAGGCAAAAGTAAAGAGTGCTTGTGTCATTGTAGAGCACTTGACACAGTCCCCAGCCAAAACTGAAGAGCACCCACACTTGTCACACACTGGAATTTTCCTTATGGCTGGATGATGTCCAGGTTCTCCTTCTGTCAGCCCATGCCCTGTGTCTTCAGGAGGGAGAAGTTTTCCTGCAGGTGCAGCTCTCCAAGGACTAACACCCATGGTAATGGGCATTGTCTTTTGCTCCCCATCTCCTTCGTTGGGTCACTCCTTTTCACACTGCTGACTTGCATGTGCCCACAGAACAGTATTTGATGATGAATGTTGGTTGGGGTGAGTTGCTGAGATGCTTTTGGGGTGCTAAGGCCCAGAGGCAGAGCAGACTTGCCAGCACATGGACTTGGTGTTGGAGGGTTGACATTTGGTGATATTCAAGGCCAGGGCTTTAGGTGTTCAAGATGTGCAGTGTGTTTGCTGGCTGGCAACGCTTATTTTATCTGCCAGAAAAACCTTCCTCAGGGTTGGAAGCCACTGCAGTGTAAAGCAGGGAGGGTTGCAGTATTCTAGGGATTTTTTTAAACCTAAATATTTTCCTGTGTGTGTGAGTCATTAGTTACTTCTTCACGTTTACTCAGCTGGTCAGATAGTTGGGGAAACTTTCTGGGTAAGAGTTTTCAGGAATTTTGTTGTTGAGTATCTGGACTTGGTGATGTGGTGTTATATTTTCTGTGAGCCAGCTGATTTACAAGGAAAATAACAGAAAAGCAGGGATAAAGTTTCTGGCAGCTCTCTCCAGAGGAAACCATTCCTAATAGAGCCATCACAGGAAGAGCTCCATGGCTAAAAATACCCCAGCTTGCCTTGTCTGTGGAGATGTTTGCCCTTTGACTTCAGGGACAAAAATGCCTGTGTGCTTTGGTGGGTGGGTAATTCTCTTTCCAGGAGCATTGACTGGCCACTTGCCCACTGACAGAGTAGATTAATGCACAAGGTTGTCCCGCAAGGTCATATTTCATCAAGCACCATGACTTAAGCCTGTGTGGTTTATTGCTCAGTTTGCTTCTTGCTGAGCTGGGTTACAGTTGACTGGATGTCTGAGATGCCACCAGGCAATGGGAGGTTGAGAAGTCCAAAACCCAGCTGAGACCATGGCCAATTTGCAATCTTCTGGATAAAAGGTGATTAGAAAGCTGTGGCACAAAGTAAAATGCAAGAATACCTGAGCATCAAAATGGATTAGGATAAGGTATTGAAAATGTTAAAATATACTGTAGATAGAGAAGCTCAGTGTATGTATGAAAATGTTTATTCAAATTTGATTTTGGTATGCATCTACTGATACCAAAATCACAAAAATCCTTGCCCTAAACCTTTATTCATAGAAGGGAGCCTATGCTGCTCCTTGAGGGGTGCTGGTCTGCCCATTGTTAGCAGTGCAGAAGTCTGTTGGACTCTGGAAGTGAGACTTGCCTTCCAGCTGAACTACCTGGAGGTGTCTGGGGAGGTTATGATCTCTCTTAGCTACGTTGAAAGAAACCTGCCTCCTAAAAACACATGCAAATAAAAATCACCCTCTTTTTCAAGTCAGGCTTTTACTTTTCCTAGTTCTCCTTGGCTCTGTACCAAAGCTGTAGGAGGCAGAATTACTTAATATCCATTTTAGGTGACCCACAGAATGAGATAATGAGGTGTATTATCTCCCTACCAGCTGCAGAGTGAATAAAAAAACCCAAAACTGCACAAATGTGCTCATGGTGCACACAACTATCTAGAATTAGTCAATAGGGGCAGTGCAATGAACTGCTTGAGGTCTGTGTTGCATGGATAGGAATATGTAAAAGAGCCCCTAGTTGCAGAGATTGGTTGATTGGTTGATAAGAAATTGGTCAGAGTGGTGTACACTGTCTGTACTTCAGTTAATATATAATTTTAGGAAGAACCTGCCCCTCTACTCTGCTCTCCTGAGACCCCACTTGGAATACTGTGTCCAGTTCTGGAGCCCCCAACAAAAGAAGGACATGGAGCTCATGGAGCGAGTCCAGAGGAGGCCACAGAGATGCTCAGAGGGCTGGAGCCCCTCTGCTCTGGGGACAGGCTGGGAGAGTTGGGGTGTTCAGCCTGGAGAAGAGAAGGCTCGAGGGAGACCTTAGAGCAGCTTCCAGTGCCTGAAGGGGCTCCAGGAAAGCTGGGGAGGGACTTGGGACAAGGGCAGGGAGTGAGAAGACAAGAGGTGATGGAGCAAAACTGGAAGAGGGGAGATTTAGATTAGACATTAGAAGAAAATTCTTCCCTGTGAGGGTGGTGAGACCCTGGCCCAGGTTGCCCAGGGAAGCTGTGGCTGCCCCATCCCTGGCAGTGTTG